GGTGGTAGGGGGGTGGTCTGTGGTCATTAAAACTCACATAATGTTGGCCTTGTGCACAGCAGTGACCTTTGAGCGACCCTTCTTTGTGGCATAATCAAAGGCGAATTTGGCGATCCGGCGGGATTTCTCCCGGGTGATGATCTTCAGACATTCGATGACCCCTTGAGCGCTCTAACCACCGAGAGGAAAGGGAGAGTCAGGATGGGAGCCTGAATCCAAGCCAGCACTGGATGTAGTGATGGGTAAATGTGGCAATGTGAGGAGCCTGGGAATCAGTGCTAAATCCTCTTTACCTCATATTCCAGTGAGCTGTACTCGCCCTCCGTCTGCTCGCGGATGATCACCAGGTCTAAGTTGTTATGCCGTGTTGAATAACCCGGTAAGCTGTTAACATGGACCACATTGGCAAACAAGTCGAGTTTCTTTCTGGGGAGAAACAGGGACAGAATCAGGCCAAAGGGTTGAACAGTCTCCTCTCCAACCCCAGCATATAAACAGCACCAAAAAAGTGGCTACTGACTATCGCACTTGTCAGGCTCCCATCCCTAGCCTGTCCCTACTCACCTCATCAGTCTGTAAATTCTGTCAGACAGCATGGAGCTCTGCAGAGACAGCAGCGCCAGAAACAGACAGAATGTCCAGCACACTAAATCAGTCAGAGCAGAAGCTACAGTTCAGATTTGGCCAAAGACGTGAATAAGTAGCTGCAGCATGCCCCAAGAGGTAGCTCACAGTTCACATCAATACCAACAACATGGGCAGAAAGTGGGACAAGGTACTACTCACTACTCACAAAAAAAAAAGCTGGGTCCCTGTATTTCTGTGACATTCACTGGTGATTTACCAGCTTCCAGTGCACGCTTGGAATAATAGCAACATCAACCCCAAGGGGCAAGGGTGTTAGAATCACACACTTAACGTAACTGGGAAAAAAAAAATTAGAGGGGGATTGAGGCAAAATATTTCACCTAGAGGTACTGGGGGTCTGGAATTCACTTCCTCAAAGGGCGAGAGAGGGAGAATCTCTCAACACATTTGACAGACACTTGGATATTCATTTGAACTGCCACAACCTATAGAGCAACAGACCAAAATCCGGAAATTAAAATTTTTTTTTTGAGCTGGCATGGACAATGGGCTGAATCATCTTCTTTGAGGACATAATTTTTGGGTTTTTTTTAAACAATATAACTTTTTTCAATGATTCTGCTTCTCTCTCTCTCTCTGTCCATCCCATCTTACTCATCCCATCCAACCCACCACCTGAATCCACTGTCAGATCTCTTGAGCACGGTCACACAGAGGAAGTGATGTCAGATTAAGAGAAAGCACACTCCTGATTCTGAACAGAGGACAGCTCAGCCCCTACCTCAGCTTCATCTCGTATGATGACAATTCGCCCTTGTATTCCATCGGAGTGTAGATCTTCCCTGCAAATACGGAGAGATAAGAAATGGGGTGAGGAGAGGAAAGTAGCACAAAGTCCAAGGGAGATGAGTCCGGGTGGGATGCTGTTTGGAGTTTTGGTGCAGGCTTGATGGGTTGAATGGCCTCTTCCTGCACTGTGGGGATTCTATGATTCCCATTGGAGTTTAGAAAAACAAGAGATAATGTTACTGAAGACAGCGTAAACAGTTAAATATTGAAAGGATCTTTCCCCTTACAAGGGAGTCAAGAACAGTTTCAAAATAAATGATCTCTCATTTAAGGTGGGTATGCGGACGAACCTATTCTCTCAGAAAATCATCAGTCTATTGAATTGTCTTCCACCAACAGCAATGGAGACTGGCACATTGAGTATTTCTAAAGCTGAATCAGACAGATTCACAATCTACGAAGGAGTCAAGAATTCTCGGGGGAGCGGGCAAGAACAGTCAGTAAAGTGGACTTCAGGTCATAATCATATCAGCTACGACCTTATCAAATGACAGAATAAGCTTGAGGGGTTGAACAGCCTATTTCTGCTCTTACGATGAGGTAGAGTTAGACAGCTGGAAGGTGGGAGGAAGAGTGTGAAACACAGCAAGGCAATAATGTGGGAGAGAGGCTTTCACCAGCATGTTTGTCAATCCCACTGGGAGCACCAATGTTCAATCAATGAATAATGAAGGATGCTACCTCGAGAAGCAAAAGAAAGTTTATCTAACTCTGAAACATTTGTTTGGCCAGAATTGGCTGATTATTTTAGCACGATATAAGGAGGAGCACAAACCAATAGGAATGTCAGTACTGGTCATTGGTAGAAGGGAGGATGTAGAACTGAGTCTCCTACTCTCTAAGATGAAGTCTTGGAAACTAATAAAAATGCCAACTGTCTGATATTCTACAAGCTATTAAAAAAAGACAAGGAAAGATCATTTTTCTGTGATCCCCTCCCCTTGCATTCCCCATCATCTTGTACCTTTAATTGCAACTCTGTTCGATTTCATGGAGTTAAGGACTTCGTCCAGTTTCTCCTCTGAGGCCATGTTCTGAACTTCACTCACATGATGCTCGTCAAACTGAACTGGCACATCTGCAGCCTGTGAGAACAGACATCACTGTAAACAGAGAGCCCTCACCGGTGTCCTGACCCTTTCACACTCATCCCCCTGCAAAGCCGACATTCTCTCTCTATCTTCCTCTGACCCACAGCTATCCCAACTCCCCTCTGGGCCACAACCTTTCCCCTCTGCAATTTCAGTCATCTCTTGCCCCAACCCAGCCCTGTGCGATCACCCCATGCCAGTGAGTGCTGTTTGTGGCCTCTGGTCATTACCTTAAACACCTCTTTGACAACGTGCATTAACTCGGGACCAACACCGTCCCCGGGAATCATCGTCACCTTGAAATCACCATCAGGTCTCTCTGCAGCTGGAGAATAGAACTGAGAGAGAGAGAGATGCCATTAACACAGGGGCAATGCGATTGGAGGGTAGGGGGAATGAAAAGGGGTGGACTGCGGAAGAACAGAATTATCTGTAGCTCCCAGCTGAAGTTGGAAATTATGAACTTCTCAGGGCCCTTAGCACAGGTTTGGACAAGATTAAACACGCTCCAGCATGGCCTCCTCGTCCCTCTATTTCAGAATCGGAACAGTTTATACAAACCACTAACTCTGTACCTGCTGCTGAGTTTTTTCAAGATGAGTCAAATGAGGTGAGAGCTTAAGGGCCACAAACAGTAGCAGCATCATTTCAGTCATTGAGTGGGAATTGGAAAGTTTTCCAATCAAGCTCGGAGTCAGGCCGGGGCTGCAGACGGACATTGTCACCGTTTTCTGCTCAGACCCACTGTTGATTCAACAGTGAACAGCATTTGCAAAGAGGTCAAACTAGTCCCAGGCGATTTGGAAGTAAATGGCATTCTGACTGTTTTTTCCACACGTTCCACCTGAAGGTTCTAGGGATATAGTGCAGAGGGCTTGGGATATCTGTCAAAAGCTTAAGAGGAGCACAGAGCCACGGTGAAACCAAAACTGCAGCATTCCCTCTCCAAGACAGTCATCGGATTCCCGGTGCTCTCAGATTCTGTAAGATACAGAGTGACAGCAACAGTGGTCCTTAATCCAGTCCTGTGGTCATTCAGGCTGTACTTTGGCTGGTGGCCTTATCTACCAAATGCTCCATGTACATATGCTGTAGCACATCGAGGGTACACTAGAAACCGTGCTGTCACGAATCACAAACAACATACAAAGAACCCTGCCAATGTGAGGGTGGTTCCTCCAAGTTGTTTGTGACCAATGTATTTGTGCGTGAACGTGTGTGTTTCTTTTCCTCAGAGGGAGGAGCTCAATTTTAAATAATCCAGCTGTAAGACACTTAAAATGGAAAAGGTTTATTTATTTTTCACCACCTGTGCCCTGCAGGTTCCTGGAGAAAACATTTCACCAAGTCTCTCTCCATCTGACATACGCACTGTGGACTGAGACGTTCCAAGATAAAGAACGAAGTGCTGGGGCACACACTAATGCTTGGGACAGCTGCAGCAAAGGCTCAGCTGGTGAAACGCCACTGTCTAAGACCATTCTGCCATATAGCAACAAGGGATTGGATACAAAGAAAATTCTTGGGGCTGCCTGCCCCATAGGGTCTTTGACAAGAACATTATAAATACAACCTATAATTGTTAATAACTAGAATCCTCAGAAGGCCACATTTCCTAAAAAGAACTGAACTGCGTTGCATTTCATGTAAGAACATATCAAAGCTGTCACGTAATGAATGTAAAACTTTAACAAAATGTATTCTTTGAGACAAAATGCAAGCTGTCTGCCAAGTGGACCAGAAAATAGTGAAGAGTTGTGGGGGCTGGGGGCTCGGGGCTCACTCGGAATGCCTTTACCTGGGTTTGCGATGAGGAGCTCAGTAAGGAGCTAGTCGCCAGAGTTCTTGAGCAGACAACATTCAGGGCAAAACTGAAATTCTGAAAGAAAGAAACAAATCAGTATCTACGGAAGTGACAGAGGATGAGGGAGAGAGGCA